ATTTCATGTTGAGATCTACCAAAAACTCACATACTGGTTTCAGTGGATGTTCAGATTTTCATACGCAGCAGTAGGTGTGTTCATGAAGGTTAGACATCCAGGTAAACAATATTCAAAGAAAAATTAAGCTCTACTACTGGATAAATAACGGAGGGTGAATAAGTGTGACAGATGTCAATCTAAACATCCGGAAGTTATCTCTGTTATTTATCCAGTAGTAGAGTAGAATTTTTCTTTGAATACAGCAGAATGTGTATTGAAAATATCTTTGCACATCAAACATCACCCTAGTTGGGGCCCCACCCAATAAAGCAAGCGAAGTCATGTGGTGCCATTTGAATAATGCAGACCGGGGGGTGCGAGTGTAGCCCATCTGTCAACCTGTCTGTCTGACGATCCCATGTCGGCTGAGTTAATCAAATCAGCGATGAAATTGCACTGTCAACGAACGCAGCTGAGGCCCACACTATATTACCTTCCCTTTCGAAATTCCACGAAATTCCGCGATATTCCCAGATCCAAAGATATTATACCCCCGTTAATCTTGTGGCCCGGCTACAAAGTGAGCCGCTTAAATCACACAATGTGGAGGGATTTTCCTGTCAGATAGTATTCATAAAAGGATTCCTATACAGGGCTGGGAAACTTTTATCTGGAGAATGGATCGCCCTTGATGGGGAGCGAGAAACGCTTTTCGCGGCCCTTTCCGCTATCGTTTCTAAGAAGGGCCGTCTGGAACACGAGATAACGTGAGCAGGCAAAGAATCCTGGCAGTGGAACTCATTTGGCATTCCACTGCTCTTTGCTGCCTTGTCGTTGACAAAATCCCCCTTCACGAAATTCCAATAGTTTGACACTGACTGCTTGGGTTGTTATCGTTTGATCATCAGTGTTATCAGACATCCCCGAATCCCTTCATTTCCCATTCAGCCTAGAAGGCCCTACAACGTCAATGCTACCCCTGCGTATGACCATGTTTGGGCATCGTGCGCACCGCGCTTACGCCGCCAGGATGCAATAAATTCAGCGGGATGCTAATGAGGCGATCAGGGGTCGCAGGTGCATCAGGACATGCATTAAACACCAGGAGAGTCATGCCCGTGTGGCCGCACCATTTGAATACGTAACGATTCCCCAACCCTCCATAGCAATCCATCACCGTAATAGCAGGGGCCTTCCATCTGGTTCGGGGGGCTTTGAACATTTGAACACACCATTTCGTAGACAAGAAAATGGCACGCAATCTCTCTCTTGGAGAACAGCCAGCGTAGCCCTAGGATAAACAAGCGCGATACACTCCTACGCAGGAGATTTGTCTAATGGTATCACATGCATGGCAACTTTCCCATGCGAATCTCTCTGATAGATCAATATACTCTAAAACAAAGGAAACAAAAACTACGGAGCAAAAGTTTTCCCTTACATCAATCACTAGCTGAGCAAGAAACGCTGAGAGAGAAAAAAAAAGGTGTGACGGAAAATGGAATAACGGCGATACTAAAAGGTTCCTGTGATAGAACGAATGACGTCAGCGTTGCCAGGCAATACAGGCCCGACATCACTCTCCGAGCAGGTAGAAATTAGTAAGATTGCTGGTGATGGTTCCCCCCTTCCTGGTGCGCGGCATGAAATGGTAGCCTGCACTGAATCAGCACCCAGCCAAGCCCTATCTCCCCGCGGCAGGGCCATGAACAGCGACGCTTTTGCATTAATCATTGCCGCAAACAACGTCAGCCCAACAGGATGCCCGGGAGAAAATGCCGATAAGGAAAAACCTGATTTATTCTCGCACACTTAACATCATGCCAGGGCTGACATCAATCCTGATGGGAGATAAGCAATGCAGACACAACCGCGTGAATAAATAAACGGCCTCCATTTTGGAGATGGCCCCATTTGTGAGAGAGAGGGAACAGCCGCCCCGCAGACATCAGCCAGAAACGCTCGTCTGCAATCTTCTGTCCCAATCTCCACTGTCACGGATATACAGGACTAGACTGGAATTCTGTTCTAGCCAATCAGATCTATAAATTTTAGAACAACAATTTAAGGGCTTTAAAATTATGTCAAGATGGAGAGACGTAAATGTGATGCAAGCATGGTTACTAGATGAGCTACATTGGTCCCTAATCTGTTGTCACTATGTACTGTCATTAGATCCTGAACAAAATGTGTACCCTGGGCCTCAAGAAAGTGTGACTAAAGTGTCTTCAACAGTTTCCTGGCCAGAATCTTTATTTTGCAGGCATATATATATAGTCCAGAGTTCCTCCTCATGTCTACCAAAATATGTGGACAAGCGTATTTTGAAACCCTCGCCATCTTTGTTCCGGGCGTGAAGCCAAGCACGTCTTTGAAAACGGTGACGCAGATGCCCAGCCAGGCGACGCATTCCTCCACAGCAATTAAGGGCGCATCGTATTTGCAGCAAGTCAGCTTTCACACGATTAATCTGACAGGGGCTTGAACATTGTAATTTGGACTACTTGATGTATTGGGGCACAGACTGGTGATTTTGTCCTTCTTGAATTACGTATCAGTGTCTCAGAAGCATCGGCGCAGCTTTAATTACAACATAATGTCTTCCCAAGACACCACATGAATAACATTTGACACACCTTCTTCTCTCTGAAAAATACAGGACAGCACGTCGATTACACCGTGGGGGGCTTTCACGGCGGCAACTGCATCAGCTTCATACAGCTAATGCTATTGGTCAGGAAGGATAAGCGTGGGAATTCCGACCAATCACGGATTAGGGTTGTTAATCTAAGACAACGGTGCCAGACCTCCCAATTCTGTTTTATGAAAGTAGCCAAACATTTACAACACACACCTTGACAGTGAGACGGGCCTTCTAGGAATTATTAATATCGCATTTTCTTCCCATTAAATTTGGGACGTAGACTATGTATGTCTAACGGTCCAGTCATTCAAGCAGTCGCGTCATTCGAGCGCTCGACTGCTTTATGGTCCAATCATCCAATCTAGCACCTGGGGTCTGGGTGTAATATGCACTACGTCTAGAAATGGCAAGGCGTGGGAATGTGCGTAGCGTTGTTCATTAGTACGCAGACCCACAATTTCTCCTCCCCGCGTTCTGCGTGACTGAGTTACGAAATTGCGCAAGTCTAATCTGTATCGCTGCTAGCAGGCATTTTCCTGTTGATCTTGGATGATTCCCGAACCTCCAGCCTTTTGCGAGGGCCACGGGGAGTTGGGCATCAGCCTAATGCCAAACAAATGGAATGGAAGCGGCGGCGAACGTCACTGGGGGATTGCGGGCTCGACTGCCGGGGCCCCGCGTCCGCGCGCAAATTCTGTCATTGGGCGGCGACTGTGAAGGCTGGAAATTGAACACATCAATCACATCCTTTCCACCTCAGCAAATTCCATCAGTGCATTTGGGAGGCCCGCACAGGTGCCAACGGGGAGCCGCTCGCTCGGCCGGAGGCCTCCGTTTCGCAAACACACATCAAATGGGCCTCGATTCCCTCCGCACCACATACAATAACAACCAACCTGCAAATACACATCCCACAGAGCAAAGAGAACCTACAACAACAGCCATGTTTGAAATGATGATCTCGGTATTTTGGCAAAACCGTCTACGGATAGACCATTAAGACGGAAAAGAACAGTTCCATCTTCTTGTCTGGAAGGGGTCCAAAGTCATACATAAAGAGATCAGTGCCCCGTGAACTGTTGAACCGTGCCATTATCTCTGCTGGGAAGTATTGCTGGCACCCTAGAACAGCCTCCCAACAAGATTGCTTTGTAATAAACTGTCTGGGTTTGGCCAAATCGTGCACCATTTAAAGAATGGACTGTCTGGCACTGGGTGAAGGTCTGTTGTTGGGCGGACATGGAAACCTTTTTGCTTAATACAATCGAAACCATCTGTGCATAGCTGCAGAGAGGTCAGTTATTTCTATGCTGCGGCAGTGATTGCAAATATGCTGAGTTTTGCGAAAGCTACTACTTCAGTAATTTATTTTCCGTCGCGGGTCGGTAGTTTTTCGCCCACTTGGGAGTCTGCTGGCAAGAGCCCACGGGGCGCGGAATCGACATGCATGCTCCGTGTCTGTGATGTCAGAACATCTATAACAGCCTTTTGGCCAAATTGTTTTGCGGTAACCACCTATATACACTCGCTGATTGCATCGGGAGGCAATAGCATAAGCAATCCGGCAAGAGTGCTGACCAGAATAAATTTGCATAAGCAAATCCTCCGTCACTGCCTCTCAACAGTCTAGATCTCCACAGCCAGGGTGATGACATCTCACCCTGTTTTCAGCAACTTTCTCAAGAAAATTTTGTTCCAAATTGAGTCTATCATAAGCCCAATAATTTATGTACACCAAAACTAGGATTATCTTTAAAAATATAGGTACTCTGTCTGGGGACAGAATGGTCGTTGTTATATTCTCCCTAACTCAACAGGGACCATATGGCAGCACCAACCAAATTTGACTAACTCTGTCAGATCACCACAAAATCTCTTATACTGGTCGGCGGAATTGAAACATTGCCTGCCTGCCTAATGGTACTGATAACTCCAAACTATCACAATTACATTATGATACACAGTAGTCTTCCCTGTCTTAAATAATGTGGTACAGGCAAAAGATGGTCTATTTTGACTGTAAAATCAACATTAACCATTTTGAGCTGGATTTTGAAAGTCAAAGCAGTTATCCTAGTTTAAGCACTACAAAGAGTTGGACAGTCCCGTATACGATTGTGCCAGAACCACTGCTGAAATTACTTCTGTGAAGTGTTTTAGGTTTTGTGAATGTATTGAAACTATATTGTATGATCATGGGGAAAATTGAATTACATTATAGATATGCATGATTGTATTCTGTAACTTACTTGTACCTGGTATTGGTCTATGTTTAATGCTTCATACCATGATTACACAGAACACATTCCTGGTGACTATGCAGGGCAAACTTATGAAATTCCCACACGGCAATATCATAGACGAGACCAACAACTGGCAGCAATAATCAAAATGTATTGTACCAATGGAAGAAGTGGAAAGTCACACTTTCCAGCCCAGGAACACAAAGGAGAGAATATCTTATAAGTGATAGCGCTATGACAACAGACCCATGTACAATGAGAATTACAGTTGTCCAGGAAATTCGGCACACACGTAAAATGCATGCTCCTACTTTATAGATTCAACGCCTTCACTGGCTTCAGAAAGACCTGTTTCTGTTGTAAGTAATACCGTCTGAAACTGGAAATCTTACCAGTATTCTAGCCAGCCTGAAATTTTTTTCCATCATCTCAATTTTGTTTGACGTAACATACATGCGTAATTACAAGACCTGATGGTTCATGGCGTTTGATACTCCTACATGTAGGGGTGGTCTGGGGACATGTTCCCCTGGGAAAATTTTGAAACCTTGACCCTCTGAAATGCTATTTACAGTATTTTGGGAGGCAAATTTGGCTGATAGACTAAGCGTAGTTTAATGGCATATATTTTACATGTCTTTACACAATGATTTTTCTATCCATCAAAGATGACAGATTGGGCAAAATTTTTGTCCGTCATGAGCGGCAAAATTCCGTCAAAGGATGGAAAGACAGACCCTGGCTAGAATACTGATTCTTACACACTAACCTCATTTACATGTATTGGTAAGGCTGACATTGCTGAGAATCTAACAGGGCTTGAAATACCCCCTGTATATAAATACTGAATATAATACATATAAATGTAGAAGCATATGCATGTGGATTTTATTTCTGCATTCTCTGCTACCAAATATGATGTATAAAAGAAATAAGGGCAATTCTTTCTGAACAGTTTTTATTTAGTATGATCCATACATACATGTACATCCTAGCTTCTGATTGGTGCAGTTAATTTTTAATGTTACCTGCACCACCATGTACGGGTATGCAGAAAAAAAGTATTTCAAGCCCTGCTTATATAGTAACAAACAAACTTGTAAGATTTTACATATTTTTTAAGTATTGCCTTCAAGAAGAAGAAGTTGAGTCGTTGGCTGCCTTTTCTCTAAGCTCCTGTTGTTTCATGAGAGCTTTGATGGCGCGTGCTCGTAACTCCAGCTCCAAAATCTCCATCTGTGTCTTAGTTGGCACGGCAACATCTTCATTTCCTTCTTCCGCTAACCCTTGAGGAGCGGTGGCTTTGGGGAGTTCTCCCCCACCTCCTCCAATAATACTGTTAACAGTTCTGTTGATGTCCTCCTGTATATCTGATGTACCATCTCCAACTGCACTGTCATTGTCTGGTGGGATATTCGTTGATTCTAGTCTATCAGACGTTTCGGCTGCGTTCGTAGAATGTTCTTGATTAGCGTTGCCTGTTTCGTCTGTTGTTGTGGCCTCCGGGACGGAAGCATCTGGTTTGTTTTCGTTGGCGAACAGGTTGTCGAGCTCTCCATGGTCGGGACTGAGGCTGAGCGCCGGAGTGTTTTCTCCGGAGGACTTGGTGGTCACTCCGGAGGGTTCACCGGCTCCGCTGGGGTCAACGTCCTCCTGGTCATCTGTGGGAGTACAGGTGGAGTCTACCACTGCACTACTCTCCAACCTGGGGAAGACACAATCAAAAATATGTTTAAAGTTAAAACTTTAGATCCAACACAATAAAGTTCTCTCACCTAGAGCTTCCAACCAGTCACTATATACCACATAACCCCACTCCCACGACAACTGTCACAGAATGGTGCCTTACATGCTACTGCTGGCCTCTCGCTTGCTACATCTAGTGTCATCCTCATCTGTGGTGTCGTCTGTGTCAGAAGAGGATGTCATCTCCTCACCTGTAACAAACATATCATACAGTTTCAAAATATAAGTCTTGGTCACTGATTTTTCACAGCTTTCAAGTGCCATCTATTGACTGACATGTGAACTGCAGCTCTGCAATTTCATGGATGATTTTGTATCTGCAACATATTAACTACTACGTGATCAACCATGCTATCAATAGGATATTGAATCTTTGGTCACCATTACTTGATAGTGCTGAAGTGCCATCTATTAACTGAGAACTAAACTGCAATCCTATTGTAAAAGATGATCATATACTTAGTATACTATATGGTCTGAATATGACAGAACTGGGAAACTCTATTTTAATACTCTCTATATATTCTATGAAAATGCAAACACTACAAAAATGCTCCCCATTACACACACAATACTGTATAAAACTTTTTATTTAGTTACAAAATATTAATAACTTCACATCTATCCATATGTCTATGTTTATTCTGACCTGCTAGGATGTGTTGTAGTCTCTTTTTGGACATGACTTCCAACTGGTCCAGACACAAAGTTCTCAGCTCCTCCAAAGGACATTTCTACAAATGAAAGTGACAAGAAATAAGGTATCTGCATGAGTACAACCATGTTTTGACCTTAAATTTTAAAGTATGGCCTATGGACAAAATTAACATTGATTATCAAAGGCTGCAAGGTTTTAGATTCTGACATCTCTATTTTGCAAGCCAGCAAAACTATACCAATAAAAATATAATACATCTAGCTTTGACTTTGAGTCTAATAATCTAGGTGTATAATTGACAGTGTAACATCTGTGTCCATAATATCACCAGGGTCCATAATATTGCCACCTTGTGAAATAGTGTGCTTAAAGATATTTTTACTGCAACATACCCTAGGTATGTACATTTGATGAGTGCATACCAAAAGTATGTTGCAGTAAAAATATCTTTAAGCACACTGTTTCTCAAGGTGGCGATATTATCGACCCTGGTGATATTATGGACACAGATGTTACTAACCTTCATGACTTCAGGCAGCATGGATCTCAGCTTCTCCCCTTTAATTGTCTTCAACATCTCATCCAACATTTGTTCTCTGGAAAAGGGAACGGTAAAATTTCAAAAACAACATAGAAAAATACCATACATGTGCATAGTTTAGCATTGTTTGGGGGAATTAAGGGAGGACTTCCAAACCACAATCCACAGGATAGAGGCAAATAGCAGGCTGCAATCAAGCCTCAGCATTAGTATATAAGCATGTCTAACCCTCATGAGGGGACTAAGGAGACGTTAAAGTTAACAGAGTTAAGAGTGCGGGTTCTTAGACCAAAACAGGCACCTTAGGCAGACTCTACCTGTTTTTGATGTAGGCCCCGATGGGCTGGAGGTCCAGACTAAGATCCATCCACTCTGCATCTTCATCATTCTCCAGCTTCTCCCTGTTTTCTGTGTGAGGAGAACTGCTCTTCTTGGACTTTTTCTTAACCTAAAACAAGACACAAAATCATGTATAACAATTAGGGCCCATTATTCTCTTTGTTTCTATTTTTTTGCAATTATGTAATTCATAATACTTGAGTGAGGAAAGTTATGTGAAGAAAACTATTTTTTTCTAAGACAGGAATGTCAGCAATTGAACCCATGACATCTAAATGTTGTGTCCGCTAGCCTAACTACTGGGTAATTCGACACCACACCTAAAGTCTATTGCAAATAGTATAACTAGGAAGGTAACACTTGTAAAGCAAATGCATAATGTTTACTTTCACACCTTCTATCTCAACAACTCACTGCTCTGTTTATTTCTCAAACACATTTTATAGTGACCAACCATAAAAACGTAAAAGCCATGACTAACCTTAGGCTTACTGGTTTTACTGGACACTTTTGGTTTCTTCTTGGCCTCGGTCTGTTTGCTGTCATGAGCTGCTTTACCATCACCCCCGCTGGAGGATGGACTCTTCCGTTTACTGACAGTGACCTTGGAGGTGCCCTTGGTGTCAGACTGAGTGGAGTCGGGGGTCATCATGGTCAGACGATGTTTGCGTACAACCTGCAATTTAAAATATGAATATATTTAAAATATATCTCTCTCTATCAGGCTTAACGTCTTATGTTATAGAAATAGCATATCATTAGATTTTTATAATGCTATCTGTGACTACAAACAAATATGAGTTTCTAATCCATTATCTGAATTTCCAACCCTCTGAAATTTTAATTCACGCTTTTGTAGATGCAATTTTTATCATGTAATTTAACGTTGCAAATTGTTTACTTTAGCATATCCATACATATTTTGAGTAATAGTAGTAAGCGTTATGGTTAGCTTAGGGTCAGACTGTTAATAGTGGAAAAATTCTTATTGATAAGCTTAGCCAGGCAATGGCGAAAAAATTCTTTAAATTGTGGAAAAATGTCAATAGCCTCTGCCTTAAAAATGTGACACAAAAAAATGCCCCCCTCCCTTTCGTAGCAAAACACAGTTATAAGGAGCTAGTCAATTGCTTTCTGTGCATAAAATTAAGATTTCTATGCAAAGTAATACTCACGTGGTCACTGATAGAATCACCTTCCGTCCATTTATTTACGTCCCTTTAAAAATCTAGACATTTAAAATCACAAAATACGCAACGTCGTGCCGTCTGCATTTACTCACTAGAGCATAGTGGGAAATGGAATATACGATTCAATATGGATGAATTCGTCATTTAACAACTTCTAAACTTTTTGCTTTAACCACAATACTGTTATAAAAAAAAGTAATATATTTAGACATATATTTAATCAGATGCTAAAGGAGTGAAATTTGTCACTCTGCAATCAAATCTAGTTTTTAAAAAATTTGTAAGCTGTGTTGATTCACCCTATTTTGCGAGTGGAGCATTCCAACATGGCAGCCTCCTGTAACCAGGAAGTTTCTTCGATTTCTTCGTGAAGTTTTCCTTGTTTTTTCGATGATTGGCGCCGAGTTTTCGGCGGATTTTACTTACTTTTAAAAGACAAATCTGGTACAAAGTAATCTCTATGTAAGGTAGGTTCAGGAAACGTGTTTTTCATCAAATAGTTCTTCAATATGTTTGTGTTTGGGCGAATCGCCGGATCTGTGTTTTCCTTTTCGGTCGGACGATGCTCGCAAACAGTCGTAAGACGGCAACTCAGGTCTACAGCAAACCCAAAACTACCTCAGAACCTCAAGACAAGCCCAGGGAGATTTTCACAGCTGCGGAGTGCAGATGGCATCGGCACAGGTGTATCAGGTGGCTCCAGGTGCTTCCACACCTCTCGCAGGTGCTCGGCCCCGCCCCTTCTATGGCTGCTCTTCAAACCGATCGCCAAAATTTCTGCGGTCATCAGTGGAAGGTACGTTTGGCCTTTTTTTTTTCTAATAAAAGTTCAGCATTTTTTTAAAATAAATGTTTTTGTGAACTGTAGAGTTCTACAAGGCCCCTACAATAATAAATTTGCTTGACAGTGGTTGGTTGCTATGTGAAGGTACAATTCCAATTGTTAGTGAAGATATCTGGTTACCTGTGCCCTACTTGGGCTGCATACCTTAACGTTACATCAGGTACAAATACAGTACGTAGCAAATTTTATGACAAGCTGGTACATGCTGGCCTTTTGCGGCACTGTGCTGAGTTCTTGAGTTCTGCCAGCTCCCTGTTGTCACTTGCTACCATGGACAGCACCAAGACCAAAGCCTTCAAGTTAGAAAAGGTGATTTTACTTTTTTTTTTGAGAACAGGTAAAAATCATTGCGTGCACGGATGTCATCCATAAAATCAAACCACAGATCCTAATCGGGTGATACCATTTTCCACAGGGTGTTCAGGCAGTGGTGGAAGGTTCTACCTAAGGAAAAACGGGGGGACATCTTCGCCGGCCACTTGAGGAGACACTATGGGAAGTACCTGGGGATGGCAGCTGTTGTCAGTGGCACGGTTACTGTGTACTACTTCACTCACCTGCAGTACACACCCATCACCAACAGGGAGCGCTTCATCGCATTCACACCAAACCAGTTCAGCAGTATTGCAGATGTGGAGTATAACATGGTAAGAAATCACTTTTTTTTTTTTTTTCGCATATAGCACCCATTTTTCCATCAATTGCTGGAATGTGCAACGGGAAACTTTTTAAACTGATCAGCCAACCTTGATAGACAAAATTGACTAAAATCTTGGGTCAAAATATAAAAAATATCCAAAGGACAACTGACCATACTCTCAACCCCATTAGCATGATTTGCCTCTGAAAATGTGGGAAATTGTGTTTTTAAAGGCTTGAAAATCTAAAATTTGCTCCTGGACCCCCCTAGACGCTAGCACTCTCCCCGCAGGTCCAATCATGAACCTAGGCTGATATACTAGTAAAAAAAAATGAGCTGGATAGAGCCCTGTACCATCTAATAAAATGTTCACATTGTTTGGAAATTCCTTTTTTTTTTTCCTACAGCATTTACAGGATTTTGGAGAGGACCTGGTGGGCCCTGACCATCCTGGGTACAAACTGGTGGCCAACGTCACCAACTGGCTGGTCCAGAACAACCAGGACATTCCACAGGTCAGAGACATCACATGGACGGTTCACGTGGTCAATCAGCCAATCAAGAACGCTTTCGTACTGCCGGTAAGTACTGTAAATATAGAATGCTAAATGGTGTGTTATGTATTACCCGAGGTACCAGCCTGACCACGGAGGGTACCATATCCATTACAACCTAACCTAAGGGCAATGTGGAAACATAGACACACAGACACACACATGGACACACACACAGACACACACACACACACACATAGACATACCAAAAACAATGCCTCCATTTTTTTATGGTAGCAATCACAGTGAAATTAGATGCATTTACACCATGTATGTATGTTGTTTGTTGCTGCAGCATGGGCAGATCTTCGTGTTTGCAGGGATGCTGGAAACTGTTTCCAATCCTCACCAGCTGGGGATTATCCTAGGCCATGAGATGGCTCATGCCATCCTGGGACACGCTGTAAGTACTGCAGTTCCGCCATCTACCACTGTGGGGCGCTTCTGTACCACTTGCTTGCAACTTTCTGGCATGTGATGGAAAAATCCGTCAACCTTGACAGACAAAATCAACAAAACTCTGTGGTAAAAAAATCTAAAAACATCTGAAGGACCACAGACAGTCACTCTTAACCCCATGATTTGCCTCGCAAAATGCTGGAAATTGGCATCCAAAATTTAAAGGGGGGGCATGCCAGCTAGAGCCCTGGGTTGCATTCTTGGCTTGTTTGTAGATTTAGTTGTGGAAGACCTAATACAAAACGTCAATAAAAATTTCTATACAAAAGTGACAAGTCTAGTAGGAAAGGGTGGAATTCATTTGCTTCTCTTATTGTACAAGTGTAAGAGTTATGCTTATAGAATATATCATACACTCCAATGTCTACAACGCTCTACATTTGTACTTGTATCACTGTGCCAGGTGAAGAAGTTAAAGCTGCAGTCCATTTGTATATAAATTTCTCACTAGGCAGAGCAGGTGAGCTTCCTACAGCTGGTGGACTGCCTGTCCATCTGTGTTGTGGCTGCCATCTGGGCCCTCTTCCCCTCCGACTGGATGGCCCTGCTGTCACACTGGCTACAGAACAAGTTTGCAAAAGTAGGTTGGACATTGTCTATACATATATGTGTCTATTAGTTACAGGGAAAGAGATATCCTTCTACAGAAGGTACTGTTTTTGGACATGTTGTTTGCAACTATAACTCACGGTGCATTTGACTGATTTCTTTGTTTTCAGTATATGATTAGGCCTAGGAAGAAAAATTCTGTGTCACCTGTTTCCCAACCAACGCTAAAAAAATGCTGGCTCAAGCCTTTTTTTGGGTGGATCCCTGCAAGAGACAAATTTTTTGGGCTGATTGACCTTTTCTAGCTCCATGACAGTACTGTGTAAAGTACTGTGAAAAAATCAGGAATTACAGTATCTAGGAAACATGAATGTGCCACAGATAACACCTGGAACTTTTTTTTGTACAGCTGCTGCTAGAGATGCCGTACAGCCGCATGTTGGAGACAGAAGCAGACGAAGTTGGTCTTCAGCTGGCTGCAAAGGTGCTGATATCTGACATTAATTAGGCCACAACATATCAGGCTGATTTGCAATTCAAACAATCAATTTCAAAAGGATGGAAAAACTGTTATAACTCTGAAGTGAAGGGACTTCCATCAACTGTTCGGGCCAAAATATGAGTATTTTAGACTTGATTCAGAGGCTGAAATGTTTTTTTAACATATTAGATTCCATAATAGATGCTATTTACATCTTTTTAAACAGTGCTTCTACCGAGAATAATGTTATAGGCTGCTGTCCATGTTAAACTCCATGGTAATAGCAGTTTTTCTACATGTCTGTTAAAGAGTCAGTCGAATGTTTGTTTCTTTTAATGGAAACATAACTCCAGGCCTGTTTTGATGTCCGTGAGAGTGCTGCATTCTGGGAACGGATGGCCCTTCAGGATGACATGGAGGAAAAGTTGGACCTGGACTGGCTGTCCACACATCCCAGCCATGATCAGAGGGCACAGCATCTGGAACAACTGCTGCCACAGGTAACACACACTCATGTCCACAGATCCCACACACTTTTATTTATCAAGATTCCCAGAGTAGGATCTACGAGGAGCCGACAACAGGATCCATGTATCCTTTACAAGGCCGTCTCTCTCTTCCATAGTGCAGTTAAAAACAGACTATACAAGGCTATAAAATACCATTAGCAAAGACTACAGCACCTGGAATAGCTGCTGCCACGTTTAACACACATCCTACACAGAAATTGTTGCTATATATAAATGAATAACTGTATCCTGCATCTATTTTCCACTTAATATAAGAATTGTTCTCTTCTTTTCCCTCTTTTCCTACAGGCCATAGAGTTGAGGAAGTCCTGCCAATGCTTGCCGTTGAGTACTGAAAACCCTCTGCTTCCCTTCCGCGCATTAAGAGAGGGTCTGAAGACGGGTGAAATCCAGACTGCCAAAGTTCTTGTCAAGGTTCCGCAGCCTCCGCCACAAAAGAGCAGTACACCAGGAGGGCCAGTTGTCACACACAGCCTGACTGATGAAAAATAGTGTAATGAAGAAATCGGGAATTTCGAACTTCGGGGAAGTTTCTTGGGTTTTCGTGAATGTATGGGAACTGTTAAGGGGATTTTCAAAGACAATTCAAACTTGTTGAGGGGATTGTATGATGTAATGTCAGTGGGCATTACACCACTGAATTTTTACACACACTCATACCCGGCCTTCTGCCTTCCTGTCATGTGGTCTGGTACCCAAACATACAAATATCCCCTAAGCCGGCACCATCCAAAACATTTATTCCATCACACAAGTAATCACAAATAACCCACTTGTGCTGTATGATATGTATTTTCAAATCTTCTCAGAAGCTGCTATCTTTCATGGATTTACTGTGTGCTATCGACGTTCAATTACATGATATATTTAACTATACAATAATTTGTATGATCTGATGAAGAGTGGATACATGTAGTAGCTTTTAGAGTTGAACTTGTGCATAATCATGTTAAGGTTTAATTTAAGAATAATTAAGAAAACACTGTGTACAAATGAACTTGAGTATTGTGTTACATAAGGCAATTATGAAATAGTGTTTGAGTGTTAAATGATAAACAAAATTATAAAGAAATGTTTTCAATCAAGCAGAAAATACATCAAGTAGAAAGAAAACAAGATTGTGTAAAAATGTTAAAAGTTAAAATGTATTTTAAGAAATTCTATTCATTTTCTTCTCTAAGATTTGAAATGGTATTGCCATGATGTCTTAAGGAACAGATTCCCTTTAGGCTACACCAATTTGATTTATTGATTCTTGGATTTTTTTCAGAAAAAATATAAAAGGGCGAAAAAAAACCCAAATAAAAACAGGCCTAGGCCCGAAATGCTGCAATAGGAGCATGACACCAGGCTGGTTTATCATTCAATGAATTTTGAACTTTTAATCAAAGCACTGCACTGGAAACTGTAATGACTGGGAAGACATGGACTTTCCTCAACTGTTGGGGCCAAAATAAGAGTTTTTTTGTTGGTTCAGAATCATTTTTTTGGCAAATCAGAAAAAATAAAGTGAGCAAATCTGATAACCAATTTATTTAATTGGTATGGCCTTAAGTTGTAACATAATTTCATTGACATCTAAACTTGAAAGGTACCAAGTGTTTTGAGATGTGTGATTTACCTAGAGGGTATTTTTACTTGTAGTAAAATTTATTCTCTCAAAACTGTGTCTGCTGGGACTTATTTCAAAATCGAGCTATCTTTCTTTTTGTTTTGGCTAGATTTTTTTTCTTCATATGACTACTGTTTTCTGATTGAATGAATCTGTTTGGAAGGTACCCTGTTTTCTAAAGGCAATCAATGCAATTTCTGGGTTTATAGTCTTTTGCCCAAAACAGATTTTTACATGTATTGGGCAAAAACTTTAGTAAAATTTTAAAATGCTTTTACTTCATTTCCATGCATAAATGTAGGCAATTAAGTATACCGTTCCGTTCTGATAGATGTGACAAATACCTAGTCTATTGTACACTAAATCTTGCATTTGATATATGGCAACAGGGCTGATTGAGAGTTCACAAAATTGTCTCGACTGTACAACCTATGATATTTAGCCTTATCCGGTATGTATGGTTCATTTTCATGTTTTGTTTCTGATCTTGTTTAGTAAAAGTAGAAGACTTCTTATGTCCTAAGCTCAGCCAAAGTCCTGCCTTAGTGTACATGACGTGTGTTACACCAAGGACATTATACTGTCCTTGGTTACACCAAAGGGCGGGGAAACCGGCAGAACAAGACAGAAGCTGTGTTGTGGAGGGTCGATCGAGGACGTGTTTTTTTTGCTCTGCAGAAACCTTGTGTGGCGCCATGTCTGGAGGGCGGTCCCGTACTGCTGACACAAAAAAGGGTTAGTAGCTTGTTTTTACACAACTTCGCCATTTTTTCAAATCCTAGAGACAACCTCAAATTGGTCTTGTTTATACTTTTTTTTCTTTTATTGACTTTGTAATTCTGTATGTATTTTGTCATTGCGTTTTAGTCTTGTTATATGTGTTTGAATAAAAGGCGTCACGTAAGCAATCTGTGCTTTTTGCCTATTACTGAATAAAAATATGTGAATAAATAAAAAAACTCATAATGGTTTGAAACGTTTGTGTGAATATTTTCCCTTTTCTTCTCACTTCTTTCTTTTTATTAAAAATGTACATGGTAATTTCACCTTTTCACATACAAAAAAACTGCAATATCACAAGGAGGTTACGAAACTTTTTTTGTATCGTTTTCGAGCAAGGCCAATTAAAAACTGGCGTGATTGTATAAATGCTCAGAAAACTCTGAAATTGGTGACACACGAAATGTGGTTTAATGTACATGTAGCTGTTACAAGCTATGTTCACGTGGCTCCAATTATATTATGATAAAACCCTGCATCATTATTTACGGACAATCACACCATTTACTGATGCATATAGCGTAAAAATTATTCTTTTCAATTTTTTAACTTATGGTACAGATGATATTTTGATATTTCCGATATTGTCTCCCCCAGACGCCATGAATATGCGGGAGTCTCAGACTGATTGGACGCACGTCGCAGATAAAGCTGCGACCACAGCCAACACCCTTTACGTTTCCGGAGCAGGTACACCTAATTCAGATCTGTTTTTTGGTCATCCCAGGCATCCTAATGCAAAGTCAGGGTAGTTTAACTGGATTTTCAAAGTCATTTGAAGCCATTCTTTGGCTTGGTTGTGATTTATTTATCATCAAATACTGCTCTATTCGGCCAACAGCTGTCTGGTCAACATGGAGCCAAAAATGTACATTTTTTGTCTGAAAATACACCTAAGTTGTTGAATAAAAATTTAGGCAAAAACGTCGAAATACTCTCACGAAAAGTAACAGGTAGGCTCCTGTATACTTCTCTCAAGGACTTGGGTACCACCAGGATATCAGAAGCACTTAATCTGGTGCTCCTGTCAGCTCTTTATAGTTTGGGAACATTCGGCACATGTAGGGCGGTAATAATCTCCAACCAGATCTTTTGGTGGCTGCAAGGACAGTATCAAATTGGCTGGCCAGTATCCCTTGGTCAGACAGTTACCATTTGGGAGATTAGGGCGGTAAGCGGTTGTTCAAGGCCGCGTGTACGTGCTTTACTATGCCGTGTGATCTCCTGAGTTTCCACAAAATGACATTCACTTGACACTTCCAGTTTAGATTACGGTCAATTAGTACACCTAGCTATAGGTATTTGTACATGTTGTTACAGTTGCCCCATTGATAGACAACTGCAGGCTTCTTTAAGCTATGAAAATGAAAAGATGATTAGTGTCATCTAAGAGGTGAATATTGTTCTTACAGATGTAAGATCAAGTGATGATGACGACAAGACGAAATGCAGCAAAATTCGCAAAATGCTGTGGATAGCTATCGACACTGTGTTTGCCGTGGCCATTGTCATAGTCCTGGCGTATTGTGGAGGTCAGAATTTTTGTGTTGTTGTACTAATCTCCCAGCAGATTCGGTGGGGCAAGGGGACTTGATATAGGCCCCCTGTATCCATTGGCTGCCTGTATCCATCGTCTAGCCTCTACCAGGCTTCGGGAGATGGCTGGAAAGTGTAGATATCATCCACCCCATGAATCTGCCTCAGAACGTATGGTTTCAAACTTTTCAAATCTAAACACTCTGACACATTTCGGCCGATTTGTAAGTAGGTGTGAAGTTTTCGGCAGGAGTTTACCACCTCCTGGTTTGTACCCGCACACTGTGGGGCGGACGATGGATTCAGGTGGCCAACATAAAGTCCCCTTGCCCCACCGAATATGCTTGGAGATTATTGTTGTACGTTTTACATCGGCGTTGTTACATGTAATGCCTGGGAGATTCCATCTTGAATTTGTTACATTTTGCCTAATCATCACATTGGTGTTTCTATCTATTTATTCAAATTTACAGCTACAGGGTTACTTGGGTCTACTGAAGAAAAGATATCCCTGGAAATTGGTGGTCAGACTGGGTTGCCTGGGTCTACTGGATCTCCTGAAGGAAATGGGTCTGTGGGAATGGATGGTCAGACTGGGTTACCTGGGTCTCCTGAAGGAAATGGGTCTGTGGGAATGGATGGTCAGACTGGGTTACCTGGGTCTCCTGAAGGAAATGGGTCTGTGGGAATGGATGGTCAGCATGGGCTACCTGGGTCTACTGGGTCTCCTGAAGGAAATGGGTCTGTGGAAATGGATGGTCAGCCTGTGTTACCTGCTGGGTTACCTGGGTCCACTGGGTCTCCTGAAGGAAAGGTCCATGTGGGAATGGGTGGCCAGGTTGGGTTACTTGGGTCTACTGGAGAAAAGGTACCACTGAGTATTGGTGGTGAGACTGGGTTGCCAGGGTCTACTGGATCAAAGTCGCTGAGCTGCGGAATACAGTGGGTGATGATGGCAATGGGTGATGGGGCTGGAATTACCTGGTCCATTGGGTCTCCTGAAGGAAAGGGCCATGTGGAAATGGGTGGTCAGACTGGGTTGCCTCGGTCTACTGGGCCTCCCGAAGGAAAGGGCCATGTGGGAATGGATGGTCAGACTTGGTTACTTTGGTATACTGAATATGAAGAAAATGGTCATGTGGAAATGGATGGTCAGGCTGGGTTGCTTGGGTCTACTGGATCCTCTGGGACTTCAGAACAAGGGGATGGGAACATGGGAAAGGCAGACGCTGCAGCTATAGCTGTGTCTGGACCTCAGGAATTGGTTAGGCAAATAATAGACCAACTACACCCGAATGAAGGTGAGACATGTTATTTGTAATTCTCTCGCAAAGCTGCGACAGTGATGTTTGGATATAATTGTACCAGATAAGACACTATTGTGCCGGATCCATGATATATTTTTACAGTTTAATTTTTACGTGACTTAATCTAATTATTTGATTATCTAATTTCAAATTATTTGAGTCTGTTACCTACCCATATTACTTCAGTTGGTATGTATTTATGTGACTTATTTTGATTCATATCATTTTAGTTTTTATTTCATCATATTGCGCCTGCTAATTATTGTATTTACAAAAGTTCTTCACCTTGCTTCAGTTTTTTTTTACCATTTGATTTCTGTCAGGGTCCGTGGCACTTCTTTGTATTTGTTTTTGTTACTGCTGCATAATAATGTTTCCTTCATCTTTATATACCGTAAGAGTGCGCGGTGGAAGCCAACAAGCGGCAGGATTGCGGCTGGCCAGGCATCACCCCAGAAGAGTGCCATCGCCGAGGCTGCTGCTTTAATAGCATGCCGTTCAGATCGACCTGGTGCTTTTTCAAGCAAGGTGAGACGTGTCCTCAGTCATGGTCATCTCCGTAAATGGTCTGTGTGTGTGTGTGTGTGTGTGTGTGTGTGTGTGCGTGTGTGTGTGTGTGTGTGTGTCGTT